ATTGTTTTGGGCCATTATGTATAATATTTGTTAAGAATTAGGCCCTTATATGTAATATTTTAAATTTGGGCCTGCATTGTAATTATTTTCACTTTCCAGGCCCTTATTTGTAAATTCTCCATAAATTTAAGTAGCTCTTTCGGTTTAGTTTTTTAAATTTTATTTAAATAGGCTTTTTTTATTCATTATAATTGAATCAGCCTTTTTTTTTTTTATTCATTACTAGTTAGACTTATTATTAAATGACGGGTTAAATTTAAACTTTTTTTTTACAATATACTGTATAATTAATTATAATGGACAATTTGCAGATTTTCCAGATTTCATGGAATGGAAGTGAACAGTCTACGTTTCTTTACATAATACAAAAGATGTTGAAAGTAGAAAGTAGACCAGCAGCGATTGAGGACGGCAGTGTGAATTTTAGCCGATCATAAAGTATAACGTGAACATCAATCATTCTAACAGCTATTTATAGTTACATATTATCAAATAATCATTCACACTTTGTGAATTGGTGTTAAATAATCATTATTCTAATAGCTAGTGTTAAATGGTTATTCTAACAGCTATTATGGTTAGCATTAAATAATCATTCTGATTTGGATTAGAATGATTGTATAATACTTGTGTAATAGGTGGTGCGAAGCGCCACCCAGAGTTGGCACCTTTTTCATTGAACGAATGGAGAATAATTCTATTGACATTGCTCCATTGAGAATAGAGCCAATGAAGCCAACTAACATTGATCCGGTTTGACCTGTTTTTTAAACAGATCGAGCTATCGATATATGTGGTTAGAAATTAGAACCTTCTTCTTAATCGGCCTTCCATATTCGCTCCACTGGTTATTTTCTCAATGGAGCGCCACTCATCTTATTTAGTAATTTTTTTAACCATAATAGATAGTTAAATTAGGTTGCATTATACTTACGTATAATAATTTCTACTATGAGTTACTGTAAAAAATTATGTTGCAGAAACTCGTTATTCCAGTGATTATGGTATGGGCTAATTTAGATTGTATTGGAATTATGTGATTTTTATCATGAAAATTCTGTCACAGAACTTACTTTTTGGTGAACACAGTACATTGGTTGAGTTAGTTTGCATTGAAAACATCATAAAAAACCTTGTGACTATCTATCTTAGCAATACATAGTATGTGGCTAAGATTAAGATTAGTTTGCATAGAAATTTTCATGATTTCTATCGCGAGCTACGTAAAAGTTTTGTTACAACTTTATTTATTTTATAGAGTATGCGCATATGGAGCATCGACTGTATATCTATCGCAACAGTAAATTATGTGCTACATTAGGATGCACGTTAATTCAGTAAGTACGTACGCACATGAGCGCTAATTCGAGACTATACAAGTTATTTTGATAGACTCTATTTTCAAAATAATGCTCACGAGCATTGTTTCGCGAAATAACATGTGCGCTAATTAATTGACCTGCATGTTATTACGAATACTCTCATGTGCGTTATTTCGAAATAAGAAAAGATTTCTAAATAATGCATGTTGTTGGGTAAAGGTGCATTTATAAAATATTCATTATGGAGAATAATCTACAAACAATATTAAATAATTACATAAACTATATGCACTTATCAATATAGGGAAAGTGCATGTTAAGTACACTTATAGAGTGTGCGCATAAGGAGCATCGACTGTATATCTATCGCAACAGTAAATTATGTGCTGCATTAGGATGCACGTTAATTCAGGAAGTACGTACGTACATGAGCGCTAATTCGAGACCATACAAGTTATTTTGATAGACTCTATTTTCAAAATAACGCTCACGAGCATTATTTTGCGAAATAATGTATGTGCTAATTGATTGACCTGCACATTATTACGAATGTGCATTATTTCGAAATAAGAAAAGATTTTCTAAATAATGCATGTTGTTGGGTAAAGGTTCATTTATAAAATATTCATTTTGGAGAATAATCTACGTATAATATTAAATAATTACATAAATTATGTGCACTTATAATTATAGGGAAAGTGCATGTGAATGTATTTATATCGTGTACACATATGGAGTATCGACGCCTATAAGCGCCAATTCGAGACCATATAATTGTTTTTAAAAGATTCAATTTTCAAAATAATGCCTATGAGCGTTATTTTGCATTTACTCTAGGTGCCGCACAAAAAATGTGTGGCAGATCCTCGATTTTTATTGGCTAACTGCCGATGATCTTCGAAATTTTGGCCCGCATTACAAAATTGTTTACTAAATTCCGGCCGGAGTTAACTTTTTAATTTTTTCATTACAAAAATAGAAATTATTAAAAAATAAGCACACATTATGGTAAAATTGGCCCAGGAACAATGGGCAGCTGCGAGTAATTCCGGCTTGATTTTTTAGCCAATCAAAATCGAGGATCAATTGGAATAGAATCGTCACCCAAAAAAATTTCAAACTATATTTCGAAATAAAATTTTGGTTTGTTAGATTAGGGTTAGGGTGTTGCTTCTAGGTTAGGGTTTAGAGTGCTTTATTATATCAAAATTTTGCAAGGAAAATTTTTTACTAATGCGCAGAAGGCTCTTTCATAGACTCATTTTTGAGTTATAGGCGATTTTTGACAAAACGAACGTTGTTTTGAATTTTCCTGATCGTGCTACGTTACACATGATCTTGAAATTCGATTGGCCAGTGAAATTTTTTTGGGTGGCGATTTTACCCCAGTTTCGAGGATCTGCCGCGCATTTTTGTGCGGCACCTAGGTTCAATGTTATATTGCGCTTATGCGGTATTTTAATTGGCTGCCCGATACGATAGTATCGGAGTAGCATTTTGTCTCGAAATCGATCACGCGATATGTGAGTCGTATGATGCACTGGTTTGATCTATTGTTCCTGCTTATTGATTTATTGATTTATTTATTGATCCGAGTGATTTTGTATGAGTTCATTTTATGAGGTTTTAGTGACGTAATAACATAGTATTTTCGATTAGTGGTATTGTTAGTAGTAGGTACACTTTAGCACGTAGCGGAAGGGACAGATAACCCATAGCTGTTTTCATAGCCTTTCATAGTTTTTTCATAGTTTTTTTGTGGTTTGTTTTTGTTTTCACCCTGATCTCGTTATCTAATACCACAATATGTTGTTAAAATGAGTTAGCTTTGCATTGGAATTGTCATGATTTCTATTGTGAATTACTGGTTGATACATCCTTGCTATTCCATTGACAACAATATGTGGTTACAATATTGTGAAATTTGCGGATCAAAAGAAGAACTCACTACTACAATTTATATGATCCGCCATCATGACATTCAAAATGAAGAATAACACCCATATTTTCCACTGAGCCGGTAGATCTCCTGTTATATGAGGTCCTTCGGACCCTCATATAATTGGGAATTTACCTCTTATTCCCGCCGTTACGAAAAATAAATAGCACCTATTCACTTTTAATTTGATTTCTTATTTCAACGATTTAGTGGTGATGATTATAATACTGTAATAGTGTATGTATTTAAAATAAATCATTTCTTTATATTTATATTAAATATTAAATTAGTCTATAAGAATTTTATCTCAGTAAGATTATAAATTATCCGTCATTTCTCATTAAGCCACTTATTTAAGTTAATTTTTAACCGGAAAACTAAAATAATTTGTTAATCAAAGTATTCAAAGTATTCGAAAGCAATGTATGCACTGCTTATTAGTTTTATTAGTTTATTGTCCGTGCTGATTTGGTTGATGAACAATCTTCTATTTAAGTCGATCCAGTCATTATTATTTATTAATCGAAATAAAATAATTTATATATCTATTTTTAATTCTTATTCGTGCTGATTTATGATTCTTATAACTTGATTTTATATACAAAATATTGATTATAAATTTTAATCTTATCTGAACACAAAGTTGTATGGTGGTGCACTTGCAAAGCGCATCTGCTAAATGCTTTTTCATCAATTCGGTCTTTAATTTAAAATGAAAAAAAGAATAAAATCAACATGTGAATTATATAATATGCCAAATCACTAGAAGTATTCGAATGTTCAATGAATATCCAATAAATTTATCCGGATATTAATTCAATCTTTTAACCTATATCTGGATATTAAAAAAAGTTAGATCAATAAATATCCAGATGGTTAATTTTAACTGGGTCAGATCATGAGTCAGCATGGTGTTTTTTTGTTAATGCCTTCTACTTAAATTCAAAATATCATATTAAGTATACTCAATTCTGATTGGTCAATTTAAATATAGCACACCTCATAAAATTTAAATTCTTCTTTCCGGACTCATTGACCCGGCCGGGTTATGAGAACCAAAAAATTAACTTTGCCTGGCCTTATATAAATTTTTTTTTATAAAATTATATTTATATAAGTTTACATAAATTTTATATAAATTCTAAATCAAATATATATAAAATTAATATATATAATTTTTATAGTATTCTATATAATGTCTATATAATGTTGTAGATCTATGTAGATTTTATAAAAAATCAACTTCGTGATGTCTTTTATATTGATGACTTTTTGCTACGTAGTTGTGTTCGCATGAAAATCGATATGGTCTGACTTCTCTTTCTGTTACGCAGCTGTGTTCGCATGAAAAATCAATGCCCGTTACGTAGTTGTGCCCACATGAAATCCCGGTCCCACTTGCATTAACGGGGCAGGGTTGTAGCATGTGGCGTGTAACCCTGACCACTCTCCCCTGTCTTTTTGATCAGTTGACTTTTTGTCAACATGCAAGATTTAATGAGAGTTAGAGTTTAAATTAGCTCAAAATAAATTGATTTTATATATTATAAATTTATTATAATTCCATATGCCTATCTATACTAAATAAGATCCAAAAAAAGCTCTTGCACATGCACATTTCATAATAAATTTATGAGTTTTTGAAGTCAAATTAGTAAGTTTATTAAAAATTGCAATAAATTTGTACAATTTAAATAAAAAGTTTTTTAAAAAGATTTCAACCTTAATAATTTGCAACTCTATATTTCATTATCCTCAACACTACTCATACTAGGTGGCACGATTCTATCTTCTATATCAAATCTATCTTCGTTTTCATCAATAACACCCCAAACCTTACTTGGTTCTGGACCCATAACTAATTCCATAATCGCCCCTTTTGCAATATCTGAATGTCTAAACCATGTTTTTCTCCAATTTATGCCATTTATCTTCACGCTTTGAACATATGGATTTATGTGATTATCTGCTGCTAAATTATAGGCTAAAATTGCGAATCTTAGTTGTGGTGAGAGGTTTATCGTTACTCTATCAAAATGTGGTGAGTTTATTAGATATATATCTGTGCCAGCCCTATCATTTTTTTTATACAAAAATATATAAATTATTATTAAATTGATATAAAGTAACAGTATGAACTTTGAAGTAATATAGGATAGATAAGTGGGATATTTGCATTGAAAATCACGTTATGGGACAACCGATTTACTATGCCCCATAACGTGATTTTCAAGGCAAAGATTCCAAGTAACTGTTTATAACTTACAATGGATATAACCGATTGCATTAAAAGCAAACCAACTTCCCATTGCTCCTGAATCATCATTCCCTATCAAATAAGAGAAAAATAAATAATAAATATATATAATTTTTTTTTTTTAATAGCAAATGTAGGTCGTATATTAACTTGTATTAATGTCGATAATGTCGATTATGTCGATAATATCGATATGGGAAGTATAACAAGTGTTATACACCAAATAGACTCGATTATTTTTTATAAAAGAAAATATGTTATAGGATGCACTGCATCCAATAACAGTGTATCTGGTTTCGAATTTAATGTAATTGACAAACTGTGCTTCTTCGGGGCCCAGGTTAGTACTACTTCTTTTATTTGTCATCCAAAGGATCACAGAATTCTCATTTCTTCTGCCAAATAAAACTGTTATTGGATGCTACACATCCAATGACTATTTAATATATATATAACTTGTAATAATTTATAATATACCTGGTATTCCATCCTGGCCACTTCCAAATTTAGTTCTTAAAATATCTCTTATAACATCAACACTTTTATATTGCTTTCCAATAAAATGATATAAACAAACATTAAAAAAATCAGGTTCATTTCCTATGTCGTAGTAACTGCTTTGATAGGATTTATTGGAAAAAGTTTTGTCAAGTCGTTCTTCAAAGAGTTTTGGACCACCGGATAATTCAATTAATCTTTTTACATCTACATTTTGCAATGATAGAGTGGGATAACAACAATTGAATTAGAATAATAACCTGATGGGATAATCCTGATAGAATATTAAAAAATATTGCTTTTACATAAGTACATACCAAATGGTATATCCAAACTATATTCCCATGAAGAACCTTCATAAAATATATAATCGCCTCCATATGTTTCTAAAACATCCATTTCTGTATAAAATGCACCATTTGCATATTTTGGTATGATAAACCCTTTGGTACCTTTTTACCGATAATATTAAATCTAATGAATAAGTGTTAAATGCATAAAATAAATGATTCTCTAATTATTTATTTACCATTAAAAGTCATATCAGAATACCATAGATTCTCCCAATTTCTTGCTCGCCTTTTATATTTTATATAATCATCATATTTACCTAACTCTTTAAATAAAATAAAATGTGTTACAATAAAATCATTCAAAAATATTCAAACACTTTATTTTTTTTCACCTTTAGCAACAAGACTGATACTATAATCGTTAGCAGAATACTCTATAGTTCTGCTACAAGGCGAATATGCATATGGTGTTCTAACATTTCCAGACATAGGTATATAACCATATTTTTTATATGCTGATAAAGAGAATCGGCCCTCATATAAGCCACGTTCATTTGGATCTACTTCTGCGTCTTTGATTAAAGCTTCATAAGCAAGATCCCAATCTATTACATTAGTACCTAATTTTTTTAAATACGTTTCAGCCTATTATATAAAATTTGATAATAAATAATTTAAGCTATTATTTTATTTAGAATAGAAAGATAAATAGTAGATCATGATTTAAACCTTACCACAACCATATCAGCATTAGATCCACCTTGTGTAATTCCATTCGCTAATCCACTTCTTCCATCAGGCATAAATCCCTCATTTTTATATACAGTATATCAATTAATGATCTAACGATTTCTACGGCTCGTTCTTGTTGAAAAAGTGTAAATAATGGATTTGATGTCCTAGATTTACAATAATGGATTCCTTTATTGTCATGTTACAATCTTCATGTCTATTTAAATTTATGAAATTATTGAATTTACCTAAATGTATCCCACTATTTTATTTAATTACCTGTGTCAATATCCATTAATTTATACATTGCTTTTAAAGTTATAAAAGAAATAGCATACCAAGGTGTAAAAATCTCCATAATGTGGTATTATGTTACTATTGTTATCGAATGATACCCATTTTGGATTCTCGCCAGTTCTATAAACGTAAAATTAGTAAAATTATTATACATATACAGTATATATATAGAATATAGTGTAAATAATATTAAACTAATAAATACATACCTATTGCTTGGGATAATCATGGTTCTGTATAAACTACTATAAAAAATAGTTTTAAAATCATCAGTTTCTCCTTCAACATAAATCTTTTCTAGCTCAGTTTGCCAAGCTTTTACAGCTTCTTGTTTAGTTGTCTCAAAATCCCAATCAGGTATCTCATTTTCAGCACTCTTACAAGCTTGATCAGCTGAAATAAATGAAATTCCAACTCTTGACATTATTACTGGATTTTTAGTAACATTAAATGTTAAAATAACACCACCAATATCACTAAAATATGTTCTGTTAAAATACTCAGGAACTTGTTCAGCCTTTTCACTTTTCCAAGTCTCAAATTCTATAGCATTAGTATTAATTGGGAACAGAAATAAATTTCATAGGGACCTCCTCTATTCCAACCGCCGCTATAACGGCCTGCACCTTTTATTTGGTTAAATGAGATAGATTGTATTGATCCACCATGATATCTTGAAGTAGATCTAATATAATAATAATAATCATAATGATGTTAATAATGATGTTAATGATAAACATTTCATCTATTGATAATAAAAATACCTATATGCAGCCACAGTAAGGCTATGAGACAAATCAATAATAACTTTAGCCTTATTTATGAATGAAGGAAAAGTGTATCGATGAAGACCTGTTCTTCTATTAGCAGTTAATTCAACTGTAATATTATAACGGTTTAATCCAAATTTTGAATAACCAACTTCAAATTGTTCAAAAGAACGTTCAGAAGAATAGTGAGATATATCGAATGGATCTTCAGATGAATCTATTACAGGAAATTGACTTATAACTCCATATTTTGGTTCACCTAGATTTTATTTAATCTATCTGAGTGAACTGATAAAAATTTACTAAATAAAAATATGTGATATATTTATTTTTCATTTACCTCCTGTTCCACTAACATGTAAATCTTTACAAACAATATTAAGTGATAATATGTAAGACTCATAAACATCTGAAAAAGTAGATAACTTATATAATAAATAATACAGTACGAGATATTCCTGTAATGTTTCCATCAGTAGTATATCTATTAAATGCATAAAAAATTTTCACTCAATGTTCTTTTGATAATAATTATTAGCAGTGAAAGATTCTTACCCAGCATTATAATCAGCAATGTTATCAGTATCAAAGCCTAATTTAACGACACCAAAAGGATGACATGGTCCAGGAAACACGTGCCCATCTACACGCAATTAAAATCGTTAGCAATAGTTCTAAGAATGAGAAAATCAAATTTCATAGGATGAATCTATAATAGCTGTGTCGAGTGATCCTTAAAACGTTCGAATGAAAGTTGAAATGAAATTTTAAGTAAAAAAAAGAAACAAAACTAAGCAAAGAAACCAATTTTAGGTAATTTTAGGTGAAAATAAAAAAAATGAACTTAAATAAAATGATGCACATATATCAGATATTTATGGGTCGAATTAAGCCGAATTATGCCAAGTCAGAGCTTCTAATGGACATAGACGCCCTAAACAGTGGCATTGTTCTAACGCATGTTATCCTCTTTGCATGTAGTGACTGGACTCGTCAATTCGTGACTCGAATAATTTATTATTTGCGAGATTCGCGAGTATTCGCGAGTCCACAGTTGTTAGAGTCTCTGCTTTTATAGAACGTAATAATTCGAATAAATTGATGCCAATCATGTGATTCGAATACACTTCTGAGCTTAGCTCGTGAGTCACGAGTCGAGACGAGTTCAGTCTCTACATGTATGGAATAAAGGCCGTTCAGCCACATCTTATTTTGTTGAAAGTTATAGAAGTCACCTTTAGCAGTTCCGATTAAAGTGTTAACAAATTTCGTAATATTTTGAATTTTATATGATGAATAATATTTAAATAAGTTTGGATTTTGATCGTTTATAGTTACTATAAATATAAGTATAAATAAACATAAAGCTTAAAAAACTCAATGTTATTATAAATGTGTGTTTTGTTGTTCGTTTATACATTGTTAATTTTCAAACGAAATTCTACACTATATATAAATCTGATGTTCGCATATACGTACAGTGCATTGTAACGTATGATCAAATTTCCGATTTTGGGCAGATCGGATAAAGTTTACTTAAAAAGAAAACTATAATTTCTAGAAAACAATATGTGAACATTATAGTGGAACAAAGGCGAAAATTTTTATTTAAAAGCAATATATATTCACTAAACAAATAATAATCCTTCTAATCACGAAATAATTTTAAAGAAAAACATAAATATGGTGTATATAATTTCGGCAGAAGATTGGTGTAGCTAATGTGTTATTGCAGCTAATGTATTATTGCAGCTAATGTGTTATTGCAGCTAATGTGTTATTGTAGCTAATGTGGTATTAAGGGTTTTACCACATTCAAAATCCCTACACTCAAAATCCTGAAATTCAAATTCTGATAATATACCTTTTGACACCAAATTCGTACATTGGGACATTTAAATTCGTACATTGGGACATTTAAATTCGTACATTGGGACATTTAAATTTGTACATTAGGACAATTTAATTTAGATTAAATAAAATGCAATAACTCGTGATCTAGTGATCCAAGTTTGATGATTTTAGTACCATTAGAATCGTCTCAGTCAGATGATTCTAATGGTACTAAAATCATCAAAATTGGATCACTAGAGCACGAGTTATTGCACTTTATTTAATCTAAATTAAATTGTCCTAATGTACGAATTTAAATGTCCCAATGTACGAATTTAAATGTCCCGATGTATGAATTTAAATGTCCTAATGTACGAATTTAAATGTCCCAATGTATGAATTTGGTGTCAAAAGGGGTACAAAATCCCGTCAAGCTAAAATCCTGACAATACCGAAAATACCATTACTAAATCTCAACAGATCCAAAATCCCGACTGGTTCAATAATCCTTTAGTCGGGATTTTGGGATTTTAACTTGACAGGATTTTGTACTATTGGGATTTTGAATGTCAGGATTTTGAGTGTCGGAATTTTGATGTCGGGTTTGTGATAAAGTCGTAATTGAGGCTTATTTTTTGAATCT